ATCTCAGGTAACTTAAGTGAAGGAGGGTTTATTGTAAAGAGAATTGGCGGCTACCCCAGCCCCCAGAATAGACTGTTGAAACACTTTATTGAGTCTGGAGCCCTTCCTGAATTAACAAAAGGGAGGATCCATTAGAGGATAATACAGATTATTTATTATTTCAATAGCTTCCCAGGCAAAGCAGGAAAGAAACCAGACCTCTTTTCTGCACAGTAATGGGGCCCACTAACTCTGGGGGAAAGGTAAGATGCCTTCTAATTGAGGAAATATATCCTTTTTCAATATGAGTCTAGATTGTACTCTCTAAAAATGAATGTTTGTTCCTACGAGCAGTGCATGAGCTAATATAACAATTCTACTAATCAAATGAATGGACATAATTTCTGTTAACACATGTAGGAATATTGAAAAGGAAATTCAGCCAAGAAGATCTAAATTCACAACAAACTGCAATCTTGGAGGCTCTTATTTCTTCCCCACCCCCAATCTGCTCCTACACACACAATTTTGCAAGACTTGTATAAAAATAGGCATCATTTTAAACTGGTTAAAGTCATGAGACCCTACCTCTAATTGGCACACTCAAACTGAGACACTTTGGTAAGGTAAGAATGGTAAATGTGGAGAGAGAGAAAGAGCCAAGAAGTGAGATTCCTCCTTGTGGATAGGTGTGGAGTTTTCCCAAGGAAATTGATGGCATTTCTAATAAAGAAAATTTTAAAAGGAGGCCCATGGAGAAGGAAAAATTGTACATATAAAAGCCGGAGAGCTTATGAAGGATCTGGATCTGCAGGTAACATCTCTTTGAAAAGCAAAGAGAAAGTCTAAGGAGTATTTTATTTTTTCCTCTTTGACATAGAATCACTCTTCAGAAATTGCCTAAACTCTTTAGTGACGAAACCTGCATAGAACTACTTAAGCTGTTGGTAATTTTGAAAAGACTGGAAAGAGAGAACTGTAGAGGAAAAGAGAAAGAAGATTTGCCCCTACCATCACCTCTGATTTACTGGAGAGAGACATTAAGCAGGTGGGAATGTAACCACCCAATGAGTTTCCTTTGCCAGCTGCCTAGACAGAGCTGATTTATTAAGACAGGGGAATTACAAATGGCAAAAGAGTAATTCACGCAGAGCCAGCTGTGCGGGAGAGTTTTATTATTACTCAAATTAGTCTCCCGAGGCTTTAGGGGATTAGAGCTTTTCAGGATAATTTGGTGGGCATGGGCGGGTATGGGCTCCAAAAGTTGGGAGTGCTGATTGATAGGGCTGAAGATAAACTGATAGGGGGTGGAAGTGAGTTCTTGCTGACTTCTGGGTGGGATGGCAGAACTGGCTGAGCCAGATTGTCAGTCTGGGTGGTGTCTTCTGCTCCATCAGAATGCAGGGTCTGCAAAACATCTCAAACACTGATCTTAGGTTAGCTAATTTGTTAGTCCTACAAAGCCAGACTGGTCCCCTGGCAAGAAGGGTTTTTTTGGGAAAGGACTATTATCCTTTTTGTTTCAGAGCTTAAACTATAAACTAAATTCCTTCCCAAGGCTAGTTCTGCCTACACCCAGGAATGAGCAAAGACAGTTTAGACTAGAGGTTAGAAGGAAGATGGGGTCGGTTAGGTCTGGTCTCTTTCACTGACCTAATTTCCTAAGTTATGATTTTTGCAAAGGCGTTTCAATAACATTGAGCTCCTGATGGTGACAGGCCACACTGAGAGCAGGGAGAAAACATTCACGGTGAGAGGATAGCACTGCAGAGTAGGCATATTCTCAAAGGGCAATAAGATGCTTTTGCATCTCCCTATAAATTAGAGCATGCTGCCTTCTAAAAGAGGAATTGGAGGAGGCTGGACATTCAAAGTGACCAAATAGCATTTGGTTAAAATTAGTTCTAACCCATATATATGTACAAATATATATAATTTATGTATTATAAGTCTATAAATATATATGTATATATATTTATATAGAGACAGGCTCTCGCTATGTTGCCCAGGCTGGTCTCAAACTCCTGGGCTCAAGCTATCCTCCCACCTGAGCCTCCCAAAGTGCTGGGATTATAGGCATGAGCCACGGTGCTTCAAATCCAAAGTTCCCACACTCCGCTATCCTGACACCACACACCTCAGCATTTCCACATCCTTTCTTGCTGCCTCAGTTCTTCATGAATCTGGTGTCAGGCACAACCCTTTTATCAATTTTCTTAAAGAAATGTACTCTGAAGGTGTTGAGGGTTGGTCATGGGATACGTAATATGAATGTGTTGGGGTTCAGAAAATGATACCCCAAGTGAAGGCCTCAGAAGCAAAGTTTCCCTCTGGCCTTCTCCTGTCCCCATCTCTTGCCCCTCATTCTCCCCCAAGGAAAGCCATAAAAACTATAATCCCAGCTGGGCACAGTGGCTCATGCCTGTGGTCTCAGCACTTTGGGAGGCCAAGGTAGGCGAATCATCTGAGGTCAAGAGTTCAAGACCAGCCTAGCTAACATGATGAAACTCTGTCTCTACTAAAAATACAAAACTTAGTCAGGTGTGGTGGCACTTGCCTGTAATCCCAGCTACTCGGGAGGCTGAGGCAGGAGAATCACTTGAACCCAGGAGGCGGAGGTTGCAGTGAGCCAAGATCGTGCCATTGCACTCCAACCTCAGTGACAGAGGAAGATTTTGCCTCAAAAAAAAACAAAACAAAACAAAACTAGCTGAGTACAGTGGCTCATGCCTGTAATCCCAGCACTTTGGAAGGCCAAGGAGGGTGTATCACCTGAGGTCAGACATTCAAGACCAGCCTGGCCAACATCTTGAAACCCCATCTGTACTAAAAATACAAAATTCAGCCGGGTGTGGTGGCAGGTGCCTATAATCCCAGCTCCTTGGGAGGCTGAGGCAGGAGAATCACTTGAACCCAGGAGGTGGAGGTTGCAGTGAGCAGAGATTGTACCACTGCACTCCAGCCTGGGAGATAGATAGAGATTCCATCTCAAAAAAAAAAACTATAATCCCTCTTCCCCAAGGTGGGCTATAGAAACAAGAACCCCTCTCCTCCAAAGCCAGCCATAAAACCTAAAAGTATATTCTAACTTTCCCCTGCCTTTCTGTATAAGAGCTGCTTGTAAAGAAATCCCTGGCTGGGCATGGTGGCTCATGCCTGTAATCCCAATATTTTGGGCAGCCAAGGTAGGAGGATTGCTTGAACCCAGGAGTTCAATACCAGCCTAGGCAACATAGCCAGACCTCATCTCTACAAAAAAAAAATTTAAATTAGCTGGGTGTACTGGTATGAGCCTGTAGTTAGAGCAACTTGGGAGGCTGAGGCAGGGAGGATGGCTTAAGACTGAGAGGTTGAGGCTGCAGTGAGGCATGATCACGCCACTACACTCCAGCCTAAGTGACAGAGTGAGACCCTGTCTCTAAAGACAAAAGAAGAAATAAAGTGAGAAAAAAGGGAATTATTTTTTAAAAGAAAGAAATTTTCTGACCCATCTTGTTTAATATGAGGTTGTAAGACCCCCATTCCAGAAAGGGTCCTGCCCCATACCTGAGAGGAAGGAATGCTGTGCAAAGAGGCCAAGGATAATCTAAACATTTGCAGTCTGTCCCCAATAGGGCATACCCTTTTTATTCAGTCACACTGTTACACAGCTGTCCATTCTTCATCGAACCTAAGCATAAAAATGGATAGCTTTACTAGCCGGGCATGGTGGTATACACAAGTAATCCCAGCTACTCAGGAGCTGATGCAAGATTACTTGAGAACAGGAGTTTGAGGCTGTTGTGAGCTATGATTGTGCCTCTACACTCCAGCCTGGGCAACAGAGTGAGACCCTGTCTCAAAAAAAAAAAAAAAAAAAAAAAAAAAAAGCGTTCTCTCTATATCTTTGGGTCTGCATTCTGAAGTCTCCCATGTCATGTAAATCTGTTATGCTGTTCTCTTGTTAACCTGTCTTTTGTTACAGAAATGTTGGCTGTGACCCTCGTGATTGAGAGGAAAGTGATTACCAGCTTCTGTCCCTATAAATGTCACAGACTCTACCCACCCCACTCTTACTCTCTTTCTTCCCTCCCTTTCCAAAGTAATCAGCAAATAGATGCCTTTCCTTTCTTCTGCTGATGTTTTGTCCATACTCAGACCCCTTGACTTCTCAGCTTCTACCCCAAATGAGCTTGTTGTCATCAAAGTTCTTCCAAAAATCTACAGTGCTCTCTTGAGCAAATCTGGTCAGTATAATTTCCTCCATCTCATAAACTTAGGGTCAAATGACCATCTCACAGAATCCCAGGACAAGAAAAGCCTGGGAAACTAGAACAAGGTTAGAGAGCCAGAGTTCTCCCTTCAATTTTCAAGCCTCCTGGCCCCTCGAGCCCGCTTCCGTCTATGTACCTGTTCCATTCAGCTTCTCTTCAAGCTGGGCATTCTGAGACTACTTATCAGCAATGCACATGGTGTGACAATAGCCATCCCAATTAAGCTCATGTGCCTACCATCAAATGATGGCAGTCATTGTATTGTAGTTTAATTTCTTTTTGCTGTAGGTGGGGGACGATGTTTTACTCTTTTCACCCAGGCTGGAGTGCAATGGTGAAATTTTGGCTCACTGCAACCTCTTCCTCCTGGGTTCAAGTGATTCTTCTGCCTCAGCCTCCCAAGTAGCTAGGATTACAGGTGCCTGCAACCACACCTGGCTAATTTTTGTATTGAGATGGGGTAACATTATGTTGGCCAGGCTGGACTCCAACGCCTGACCTCAGGTGATCCACCTGCCTTGGCCTCCCAGAGTGCTGGGATTAGAGATGTGAGCCACCATGGCTGGCCTCATAGTTTTATTTATTGGGCAATAGAGAGAGCATCTAACTCAGGCGTCCCCAAACTTTTTACACAGGGGGCCAGTTCACTGTCCCTCAGACTGTTGGAGGGCTGCCACATACTGTGCTCCTCTCACTGACCACCAATGAAAGAGGTGCCCCTTCCTGAAGTGCGGCGGGGGGGCTGGATAAATGGCCTTGGGGGGCCGCATGTGGCCCATGGGCTGTAGTTTGGGGACGCCTGATCTAACTGGTAACCTTGGCTCAGATCTAATCAGCTGTTGCCCACGGGTAATGAAATAAGATGAAAGCGGTAGATACGGCCCACTCTTACAAGATCTGTGGTTTAGGCAGGTGCAGAAGTTTGTCTAATCAAAGTAGCTAGTCTATATATCCTCAGTGGTTGTTGAAAGATTTAAGGACACCAATAAATAAAATCCCATTTTCCTGTCCTAGTTCTCAACCAACTGAGAAATAAAGCAAAAGAATAAGGTAAAAAGAGGCTGGGTGTGGTGGCTCATGCCTGTAATCCCAGTACTTTGGAAGGCGGAGGCGGGTGGATCACCTGAGGTCAGGATTTCAAGACCAGCCTAGCCAACATGGCGAAACCCTATCTCTACTGAAAATACAAAACTAGCTGGGCCTGGTGGCAGATGCCTGTAATCCCAGCTACTTGGCAGGCTGAGGCAGGAGAATTGCTTGAATCCAGAAGGTAGAGGTTGCAGTGAGCTGAGATCGCACCACTGCACTCCAGCCTGGACAACAGAGTGACTGACTCAAAAAAAAAAAAAGATAATAAGAGATCCCTGAAATCACAATATTACTGACAAAATTCATACTGGCAAAGGTGTCTATATCATTTAGCAAATGAGTCCCTTGATCCTGAACACTGGAAGTAGGGAGACCAACCCACCCACTCACAGATGGCATAAGAAAATTATAGCTTTCCCCTTGATTAATGTAGATGAATCAATATTGACCATGAGTTGATTATTATTAAAGTGGGTAATGGGTATGTGAATATTTATACTGTTTTCTCTCCTATTTAAGTACTCTGCATTAAATAACTGGGAGTAAATTCAATCATGCTGTAATATCTTCCCCCAATGCTCTCAGAGAGGTATCTAAAACATTTTTTTTTTCTTTCGACAAAGTGTAGAAATTTGCGATGATGCTACCTCAGTCATTAGGCCTTATTTAAGGGATTTTTAATGCCATCCCGTCTGCTTAAATTTTCCTGTACAGTTCAATATACCGATTGAGCCCCAAACTCTGGCATCCCAGTGTACCCCAAGTGTATGCCTGTTGTGTTGTAGCTTCTAAGACTATGGTGCTCTGATGCGTTGAGATGGCAGCAAGCAGCATTTTTCAGTCCTGTTACCTATGTGGCTGCTACCAGTGCATCTTGTTAAATAATGCCTTAAACCCAAGAAACCTGCTTCCTCAGGAGGTTTTCTATCCTATCTCTGCATTTGTTCCCACTAGAGAATGACAATCAACAGATTCCTGATCTGAAAATGCTGTTGACACTTTGGAAACTCGGGCCTCTATTAATAGGTTGACCAACTATCCTAGTTTACCTTGAATGCAGGATTTTCAATGCTAAAGCCAGAAAAACCAGAATGGTTGATCATCTGCCTCAGGCCTAATCAGTACCACCAATAATTCAGCCATAGGCTTTCTTAAGACACTGTCTTTTCTTGACTTTTGAATAGTCTAGGCCTTGAGTAGCAGCTCTTTCTGCCACTGGACATTTGTTTTACTACACTATTTCTCTATATTTTATTTTGTGGCTAATAATTTAAACAGAAAATCAATGGGTTCTGGTTACGCCAAAGCACTCACTCTCAAAAGTTTCCATCCAGAGTTGGATAAACCGACATAGATGCTGGTCTGTGTTCTCTCAACAGACCAGCATCCAACCTAAATCTAGACCCAATGCATCATTTTTCTTCCTGGTTCCATATTAATACATCAAATATTTATAAATCAGGGACCAACTCTTAGGTCCCTGATTTATAAATATTTAGACATTTCTCAGGACACAGGGAGTACTTAAACCTTTACATAGCAGAGATAATGACATACAATAAACTGTTACCTGGAAACTTCTAGTGATGCTTTGAGTACTTTACAATAATTGTTCTGGTCTTCCTCTTAACTCCATTAAGTTTTTCTGTAACTAGCTGGTGTATCTGTCGCCATCTTTAAGGAACGAATCCCTGTTTGCTCATGCTATGATCTCCCTCATGCTTTCCCTCCCCAACCCAATTTTGAGATGCGGCACCTTAATAGTTTTCTATATCTAGATCCTTTTGATGGACTAATTTCAGCCAGCACTGAAATCTATGCTTTTTTTTAGCTGTTAGATTTATTTAGGACCTACTGACTGTTTCTGAGCTCATAATAACTCAGTCAGCTTGTTTTTCTGATACTCTCTTTAAGAGCAATTAAATCTAGTTGCATGTCCTTTTCCCTTTTTATTTATGAATATTTGTCTTCTCAAGACATAATGAGAACAGCACTTGAACCTGAGATGAGCCATAAGAATTCCAGGTTAGTCTCTTCATGGTTCCCTTTCTCGGATAAAGTCATTTCAGAACATTTCAATGGATCAGATTTGGAGCAGCCTACTTACACTGGTGAATCCCACAACTAATAAATAATTGTTCGCACCCCACTCACATCTGAAAGATTCAGGGTGTCTTTTACAGGTACAGGACTCCCTTTTCTTTCTTTTCTCCCTCTTCTTTTCTCCTTGATCAAAGCCTTGCCTCAGCTGTCCCTACTTACTAAGGCACTGCAGCTCACCAGCATCTCCATGGCCCTCACGTGGCTCGTGCACATATCCTAACTCTGATGCCTGTGTAGTTCAAGAATAATCTACAGCACACTACACCCAAAGCTCTCACTTTTGCTATAGTTGTGCCTTTGCTGAGCCATCCCCAAACCCCGCCCACAGAGGCATCTGGCTAAGGCCTACCCTTTTGAATATTAAGGACACCCACGTGCACCTTGACGGAGTCATTTTGGCTGAATGCAGGCAAGACCAGCTACTGTTTCCCTAAAATCAGCCCAGAGCCCTGTCTCTATAAAAACAGATCCTCACCTGTGGATAAAGTCTCAAGAGTTGTGGGGTCCTAGCAAGGTGAAAGTCCCACCTGAGGCCGGGTGTGGTGGCTAATTCCTGTAATCCCAGCACTTTGGGAGGCCGAGCTGGGTGGATCATCTGAGGTCAGGAGTTGGAGATCAGCCTGACAGACATGGTGAAACCCCGTCTCTACTAAAAATACAAAAATTAGCCAGATGTGGTGGTGCATGCCTGTAGTCCTAGCTACTTGGTAGGCTGAAGCAGGAGAATTGCTTGAACCCAGGAGGCAGAGGTTGCAGTGAGCCAAGATCATGCCACTGCACTCCAGCCTGGGCGACAGAGCCAGACTCCATCCCAAAAATTAAAAAAAAAAAAAAGTCCCGGCAGGGCGCGGTGGCTCAAGCCTGTAATCCCAGCACTTTGGGAGGCCGAGGCAGGTGGATCACGAGGTCAAGAGATCGAAACCATCCTGGTCAACATGGTGAAACCTCGCCTCTTCTAAAAATACAAAAAATTAGCTGGGCATGGTGGCGCGTGCCTGTAATCCCAGCTACTCAGGAGGCTGAGGCAGGAGAATTGCCTGAACCCAGGAGGCAGAGGTTGCGGTGAGCCGAGATCATGCCATTGCACTCCAGCCTGGGTAACGAGTGAAATTCCGTCTCAAAAAAAAAAAAGAAAAAAAAAAAAAAAGACCCACCTCACTGGCAGTGAAAATCTGAAACTTCCTGCTCAGTTACAACAGATGAAAAACCAATTACATCCATTTAAAAAGCCTTCTGGCTTAACATAAGCTTCCACAAAACCACTGCAAACACAAATGCATGTTTACTCAAATCCAAATCCCAAACTGGCTTCACCAAAAGCCTCTTAACATATTAGTTGGGTCTCCAAATTTCACCCCCCTGTTTATTTTTTAAGGCTCCTGGTCCAGTGAATCAGATGTTGAAGTTGTGTGGATCCTCAATAAATGGCACACTTTTCCCTCTCCTGAGTTCAACACCAAATAAAAGGTAGAAGCCAACAATCATTTTTACGACTGATAAATATTAGAAAGATGGCTTATGTCGATAGATAAAATAACTTTGTAATAGTGAATTTCAGAAATAAAGAGAGGTTTACCTACACAGGGCAAGCCCCTTTAGAATGTCCTCAGTGCTTCCAGAGCAAGACGCCGCCGGAGACTGGGGGCTATGCTAGCCTTCCCGCCAAGGCCCAGGGGGGCCCGCCCAGCACCAGCCTCGCTTTCCCACCCCCCCGCCCCCGGGATCTACGTGACACACCCACACCACAAGCAGGCCGGCCCAGCGGCCCACCAGCTGCATTTGCTGGGCTCCCGCAGCCAGGTGTTCACCAGCGACAGCCCCTCTCAGAGCCTGCTCACCCCCTCGCGGAACAGCCTCAATGTGGACCTGTATGAATTGGGCAGCACCCCCGTCCAGCAGTGGCCGGCCGCCACCCTGGCCCGCCGGGACTCCCTGCAGAAGCCAGGCCTGGAGGCGCCGCCGCGCGCACACGTGGCCTTCCGGCCCGACTGCCCAGTGCCCAGCAGGACCAGCTCCTTCAACAGCCACCAGCCACGGCCGGGCGCTCCTGGCAAGGCTGAGCCCTCCCTTCCAGCCTCCAACACCGTGACGGCCGTCACAGCCGCACACATCCTGCACCCGGTGAAGAGCGTTCGTGTGCTGAGGCCCGAGCCGCAGACGGCTGTGGGGCCCTCGCACCCCGCCTGGGTGCCCGCGCCTGCGCCCGCCCCGGCCCCGGCCGCGGCCGCGGAGGGCCTGGACGCCAAGGAGGAGCACGCCCTGACGCTGGGAGGCGCGGGCGCCTACCCCCTGGACGTGGAGTACGGAGGCCCAGACCGGAGGTGCCCGCCGCCACCCTACCCGAAGCACCTGCTGCTGCGCAGCAAGTCTGAGCAGTACGACCTGGACAGCCTGTGCGCGGGCGTGGAGCAGAGCCTCCGTGGGGGCCCCAGCGAGCCCGACGGCGGCGGCGACAAGAGCCGCAAAAGCGCCAAGAGGGACAAAGGCGGGAAGGATAAAAAACAGATCCAGACCTCTCCCGTTCCCGTCCGCAAAAACAGCAGAGACGAAGAGAAGAGGGCGTCACGCATCAAGAGCTACTCGCCATACGCCTTTAAGTTTTTCATGGAGCAGCACGTGGAGAATGTCATCAAAACCTACCAGCAGAAGGTCAACCGGAGGCTGCAGCTGGAGCAAGAAATGGCCAAAGCTGGACTCTGTGAAGCTGAGCAGGAACAGATGCGAAAGATCCTCTACCAGAAAGAGTCTAATTACAACAGGCTAAAGAGGGCCAAGATGGACAAGTCTATGTTTGTGAAAATCAAAACCCTGGGGATTGGAGCCTTTGGAGAAGTGTACCTTGCTTGTAAGGTGGACACTCATGCGCTGTACGCCATGAAGACCCTGAGGAAGAAGGACGTCCTCAATCGTAATCAGGTGGCCCACGTCAAGGCCGAGAGGGACATCCTGGCTGAGGCAGACAACGAGTGGGTAGTGAAACTCTACTACTCCTTCCAAGACAAAGACAGCCTGTACTTCGTGATGGACTACATCCCTGGCGGGGATATGATGAGCCTGCTGATCCGGATGGAGGTCTTCCCTGAGCACCTGGCCCGTTTCTACATCGCAGAGCTGACTCTGGCCATTGAGAGTGTCCACAAGATGGGCTTCATCCACCGAGACATCAAGCCTGACAACATTTTGATAGATCTGGATGGTCACATTAAACTCACAGATTTCGGCCTCTGCACTGGGTTCAGGTGGACTCACAATTCCAAATATTACCAGAAAGGGAACCACGTCAGACAGGACAGCATGGAGCCCAGCGACCTCTGGGACGACGTGTCTAACTGTCGGTGTGGGGACAGGCTGAAGACCCTGGAGCAGAGGGCGCGGAAGCAGCACCAGAGATGCCTGGCACATTCCCTGGTGGGGACCCCAAACTACATCGCGCCCGAGGTGCTCCTCCGCAAAGGGTACACTCAGCTCTGTGACTGGTGGAGTGTTGGCGTGATTCTCTTCGAGATGCTGGTGGGGCAGCCGCCCTTTTTGGCACCTACTCCCACAGAAAACCAGCTGAAGGTGATAAACTGGGAGAACACGCTCCACATTCCAGCCCAGGTGAAGCTGAGCCCTGAGGCCAGGGACCTCATCACCAAGCTGTGCTGCGCTGCAGACCACCGCCTGGGGCGGAATGGGGCCGATGACCTGAAGGCCCACCCCTTCTTCAGCACCATTGACTTCTCCAGTGACATCCGGAAGCAGCCGGCCCCCTACGTTCCCACCATCAGCCACCCCATGGACACCTCGAATTTCGACCCCGTAGATGAAGAGAGCCCTTGGAATGATGCCAGTGAAGGTAGCGCCAAGGCCTGGGACACACTCACCTCCCCCAGTAACAAGCACCCTGAGCACGCGTTTTATGAGTTCACCTTCCGAAGGTTCTTTGATGACAATGGCTACCCCTTTCGATGCCCAAAGCCTTCAGGGGCAGAAGCTTCACAGTCTGAGAACTCAAATTTAGAAACCTCTGATCTGGTGGATCAGACTGAAGGCTGCCAGCCCGTGTATGTGTAGACGGGGGCCGGGCACCCCCACCGCTCGCCGCCTCCCAGGTCCTGGAGCCGGTGCCCTAACTGGCCCACAGGGAAGCCGAGGGCCGCTGTGTTTGAAATTAGTCCACTGATTACTTCACTTGAAATTCTGGTCTTCACCAAGAGAACCCAAACAAGACACTTTTGAAAACAGGACTCAGCATTGCTTTCAATTGGCTTGTCAGGACCCTCACTCACTGCATTGAAACGATATTTTTAAAAATTTAGTACAGTTAGAAAGAGCACTTATTTTGTTTATATCCATTTTTTCTTACTAAATTATAGGGATTAACTTTGACAAATCATGCTGCTGTTTATTTTCTACATTTGTATTTTATCCATAGCACTTATTCACATTTAGGAAAAGACATAAAAGTGAAGAACATTTGATAAGAAATCTCTGTGCAATAATGTAAAAAAAAAAAAAAAAAGGTAACACTCTGCTCGATGTCACGGAGACCGTTTTATCCACACAATGGTTTTGTTTTGTGGTTTTTCCCACATTTCAAAATTGTGATATAATGTTAAAAGCTGCTTTTTTTTTTTTTTTTTTTTTGGCTTTTTGCATATTCTAGTATAATAGGAAGTGTGAGCAAGGTGATGTTGTGGCTGTGATTGCCGACGTCTGGTGTGTGGAGAGCACTGCATGAGCAGAGTTTTTCTATTATAAAATTACCGTATCTTGCCATTCACAGCAGGTCCTGTGAAGACGTTTTTACTGAGTGTCTTTAAATGAGGTGTTCTAGACAATGTGCTGATAACGTATTGTGCGGGTGACCCCTTTGCTATGATTGTATCTCTTTACTGTTTTGTTAAAGAAATGCAGATGTGTAACTGAGAAGTGATTTTTGTGTGCGTGTCTTGGGTGTGATTGGATGCTTTCGGGGGGGGGGGATGAGACATTTGTCATATACTGAACTTATATACATCAAAAGGGATTAATTCAGCTATGCCAAAAAAATTGAAATGAATCACGGACACACGTCCATTTCTGTAGTCCGTATGCTCGTTCCTTCTCGGTAGGGCTGGTTTGCCGTAGCCCTGCCCCTACTACTTAACCTTTTTGCTGACAGACTGCCCACACAGAAAGGTTCAGTGAATTTTCTTGTTCTGTTTTCTTCTGTTACCATCAGGAAACTGAGTCATCTAATGATTCTCTCTCTCTCTCTTTTTTTTTTTTTTTAGTGTGCTTTGAAGTGTCAAATCTTAACTTGGTTTAAACAATGCATATTTCTAACCTTTTGTAAAAAAGCAAAGATTCTTCAAAATGACATTGGAATAAAAAAATAAGCCATACATAGTTTCTTAGAAGTATAGATGTGTGTGTGTATACATACATACACAGATAAACACAATATTCCTTATTTCAAATTAGTACGATTCCTATTTAAAGTGATTTATATTTGAATAAAAAGTTCGATTCTTTTTTGCTTTTAAAAAACCTGATGCATCATAATTTTCATTATATTATTCCACATATTTTTCCTTGAAGTTCTTAGCGTAATGTATCCATTACTTAGTATATATCTAGGCAACAGCACTTACGAGTTTATCCGTGTCTGACCTGAAAAAACGACGATTCCTGTGTACTGGTTTACATTTGTCTGAGTGGCATACTCTGAAGTCTGCTGTGCCTGTCGTGACTGTCAGTATTCTCGCGATTTTATAGTCGTGCCATGTTGTTACTCACAGCGCTCTGACATACTTTCATGTGGTAGATTCTTTCTCAGGAACTCAGTTTTACTATTATTTATTGATATATCATTGCCTTTGAAAAGCTTCTACTGGCACAATTTATTATTAAAATTTTGAATCCAAATCCTGTAAAAAAAAAAAAAAAAAAAAAAAAAAAAGAATGTCCTCAGTGCATACTTTTAAGGTCAACCTGGATCCCAAAGAGACAGTTGGGAAAGCCGAAGCAATAGGGTCAGTTTGTTCTTCCCAAATGTGTCACTTAGCTCAGTCACTGACTTCTCCTCTGGAGGGAGGCCTGTATTGCTAGTCTACAAGAGCTCCCTCCACGTGAAATGAACCACTGAGAGTGAAGAAAAACACTTTTCTCCAGTAGTCAAGATTAACCATCCTAATGGATACAGAAAACGTGGGATATATTCAGCCTTTATAAAGAAGGAAATCTTTTTATTTGTGACAATATGGAGAAAACCCGAAAACATTATGTTAAGTAAAACAAGCCAGACACAGAAAGACAAAAATATTGCATGATTCCAGAAACATGTAGACTTTTTTTTTTTTTTTTTTTTTTTTTTTTGAGATGGAGTCTTTCTCTGTTGCCCAGGCTGCAGTGCAATGTGCGATCTTAGCTCACTGCAACCTCTGCCTCCCGGGTTCAAGCAATCTTCTGCCTCAGCTTCCTGAGTAGCTGGGATTACAGGTGCCTGCCACCGTGTCTGCCTAATTTTTGTATTTTTAGTAGAGACAGGATTTCACCATCTTAGCCAGGATGGTCTTGAACTCCTGAACTTGTGATCCACCTGCCTCAGTCTCCCACAGTGCTGGGACTACAGGTGTGAGCGACCGTGCCCTGTTAGAATCTTTAAAATGTAAAACTTATAGAAGCAGAAAGTAGAATAGTAGTTACCAGTGGCTGGGGCTAGGGGTCGGGGCGGTGGGCAAGCAGGGAGATTGGGGAGATGTTGATCAAAAGGCACAAAAGTTTCCTCCAGTTAGACAGGAAGAATCAGCTCAGAAGATTTATGGTACAATATGATGACTACAGTTAATGTATTATACATTTGAAAATTGCTAAAAGTACATTATGCTTTCTCACCACAGAAAAAATATAAGTATTTGAAGTAATCAATGTCGACTAGCTTAATTTAACCATTCTACAGTGTATTCATATATCAAAACATGTTATACTCTAAAAAATCTATACCATTTATATTAGTCAACTTATAAATTAATTTTTTAAAAATATTAATTATGCTAGATAACATCAGGACATCTTTTTTCCATTTCTGCCTGTGTCATGAGAAATGTGAAATGACCAGTTTCCAATTTCCAATGTAAGGGAATCATTATTACAGGCCCCTAGTGAAAATATCTCTCACCTTGTTTTTTGTTTTGTTTTGTTCTTGTCTTTGTTTTACTTTGAACCCTGAGAAGCTAAATACTTTGGTAGTAAAAGAATCTTGGTTAGAGAAAGACAGCATTTTGAGAATGATTATTAAGAATAATTATGAGTGGTTAACGCTCCTATCTCCAACTCTTTTTTTTTTTTTTTTTTTTCCTGGAGATGGAGTCTTACCCTGTCACCCAGGCTGGAGTGCAGTGGCACAATCTTGGCTCACTACAATCTCTGCCTCCTGGGTTCAAGCAATTCTCCCACCTCAGTCTCCCGAGTAGCTGGGATTACAGGTGTCTGCCACCACACCCAGCTAATTTTTTGTATTTTAGTAGAGATGGGATTTCATCCTGTTGCCCAGGCTGGTCTCAAACTCCTGACCTCATGATCCACCCACCTCAGCCTCCCAAACTGCTGGGATTACAGACGTGAGCCACTGCACCCAGCCCCATCTCCAACTCTTAATCCCTGAACCTATATATTCTGACTTGGAGACATGAATACATTAATCTAACAGAGAGCATAGATCATCAACAGCAAGACGAGATGCCTAACTCACAAGAAATTGTCCCCAGCTGAACGTACATTTCTCTATAATGCCAGCAACTCCCTCACCCCGCCCCGCCCCGGGGTCTATATTAGCTTCCTAGTGCTGCCAGAAGAAAGTGCCACAAAATTAATGGCTTAAAACAACAGGCCGGGCGCGGTGGCTCAAGCCTGTAATCCCAGCACTTTGGGAGGCTGAGGCGGGTGGATCACGAGGTCGAGAGATCGAGACCATCCTGGTCAACATGGTGAAACCCCGTCTCTACTAAAAATACAAAAAATTAGCTGGGCATGGTGGCACGTGCCTGTAATCTCAGCTACTCAGGAGGCTGAGGCAGGAGAATTGCCTGAACCCAGGAGGTGGAGGTTGCGGTGAGCCGAGATCGCGCCATTGCACTCCAGCCTGGGTAACAAGAGCGAAACTCCGTCTCAAAAAAAAAAAAAAAAAAAAAAAAAAAAAAAAAAAAAAAAAACAGAAACACATCGATTTGTTATCTTATGGTTCTAGAAGCTAGAAGCCCAAGGTCTCAGCAAGGCACTCTCTCCGAAGGCTCCGGAGAGGATCATTCTTTGCCTCTGGTACCTCTCAGCAATCCTTATCATTCCTTGGCATGTAACTGCACCACTTCAATCTCTGTCTTCATCTTCACAGGTTCTTCTTTCCTCTGTATTTGAGAGTTTTCAAATCCTTCTCCATATGGAAACACCAATGATTGAGTTCAGCGTCCTCCCTGATCCATTCTGACCTTATCTTAATTTGATTACACCTGCAAAAGACCCTATTTTCAAATAAGGTCCTCTTCAAAGGTACCAGGGTTAGGACTTCAACATACCTTTTTGAGGAACAAAATTCAGTCCACCGTAGGTCCCACAATGAAATCAATGAATGGCACAGACATTGGCTCTTTGTCTTACTTCTTTTTCTATGAATAAATTTTTTGACAGAACTGTGATACATTAATTACAAAAGTGGACCCTATCCTTCCCCCCCACCTCCCTGTATCCATACCCTTTGAAATGTGACTTTTCAATCCTTCAGTCAAGAAGGAGAGTCTGTTTCCTCATGCACTGAATCTAGGCTGCCCTTATGGTTTGCTTTGGCCAATAGAATGCAGCAGAAGCATCATCATGCTAGTTCTGAGCATAAGCTTCAAACTTCTGGTGTCTCTTTTGAAAACCTGACCCTGCCGTGTAAATAAGGCCAGGTTAGCTTGATACTTGATGAGCCACATCTCCCAGTCTCCCGTGTCACCCAGCCATCAGCCAGCCAGCCACCAGACATGTGAGTGAGCCCATCCTAGACCAGTCAACTTCCAGCTGATCAATCTGGTGACCCACAAATTCATAGGCAATAATATATGGTTACTGTTGTAAGCCGCTATGTTTTGAGATGGTTTGTTATGCAGCATTAAATAACTGATAAAGAGATATAACCATATGTAAGATTCCATGGCAATTCCTAAGACTTTCAGTAAGTTCACAGACGTCTGTGCTGGCCCGAGTATGACAAATGGAGAAGAAACACCCAAATCCAGAATAAGTGTCTATTCCAATGAGGACAAATGTCTGTCACCTATGTAATGACACATGTCTAAAAACAATCTAGCTGGTGCCATTAGCTGGCTGATCTCATTAAATTATGGTCCCATTAAGAGTTTGTCACTGTTAATTGGCAATTTGCGTATTTGGCAGTGGCGGTAGCGAAATATGACACGGCCAAAAAAATTCTGTTATGAGCCAAAACCTAGTTAACATCCCTAATCTCACTGCCAATTTATTCATGAATCCATTGGGCTGAAACTGGGACGTTTAGAAAAGAAGACTTGATTGATGTACCAGATGCAGCCTTTGGTCCCAGCCCACATCTTCTTGGCTTCTCTCTTTCTCCAGCCAGTTAATCAGGAAGCAGGATGGCAACTAGTTTCCTGTAGAGGGAATCTGTCAGTTTCACTCAGCTTCACTTTTTGCCTAGGGTACACTCCTGCATACAGAAAATGTGAGGCTGCTAATACCGAAGAGGCAACCCTTGACTAAGGAAGGGTGGGGCCAGGAGACACACAAATGCAGGCCAGGCATGGTGGCTGTGCCTATAATCCTAGGACCTTGGGAGGCTGAGGTGGGAGGGTCACTTAAGCCTGATAATTCAGAATTACAGTGTGCTATGGTCACTGCTTTATTGCCTAGGCGACAGAGCAAGGAGGACCTTTCTCTAAAAATAAAATAAAATAAAATAAATGCAAGGAACATCTTACACTTGCTCTCAGAAGATCCATCAGATAGAGCTCAGTTACTCGCAAAAGTAGTCAACTCTAATATATGCCTTGCATTAGCTCTTCCCAGTCTGACAAAGTCATCAGACACCAACCAGAAATCAGTGTAAACCTATCCCAAGGAAATGTGTTATTCCAGGCAGTATAAAAGTTGGGTTTCCCTTCCTCTGCCCATTTCTGTCTGGTGGCTGTATCCTATGCAGAGCTATCTGCACATCAGGCTTGAGTCTTCTCTTCTGTCAACACGGCCTGGATGGAAATTGAGGGAGGGTAGCATGAGTTCTCATTCATTTTAATGGCTGCATAATAGTTCATATTAAGGAATATGTAATCACATTTTATGTAGCCAATTCATGGTATTTTTGTTGCCACAACAAAGCTGCAATGAATGCCCCTTAAGTAGTCCCTCCATCACCTTGAAATCTTAGATAATCCAGTGAAAGAAATTGATGTTAAGCCAGTAATTATGAAAATATGTAATTGTCATTGTGATGTATGCTACGAAAGAAAAGCACTAAATGCTGTGACAGTACATTATACATAGACCTAACCTCATGCACTTGAGGGTGAGTCATAAAAAACCACCCTGAGGAAACGACATTTAAGACTGGAAAGACAAGTAGAAGTGAATCAGGCCAGTGGGTGGGAGGGAGGTGCAGATGAGGCAGAAGGAGCCAGCATGTGTGAAGGTGTCAGGTGGAATGCGCATCAGCAGGGCAGCACATACACAAGCGCACACAGGCAAGGAAGATTAGCCCTTTGGGGCGTTGTCAGGGGTGCAGCACATATGTAAGTGCACACAGGCAGAAAGCTTAGCCGTTTCGGGAGGTGCCAGCAGTCCTGCCTGCCTGACTTTTAGAATGAGGTGGGGAAAGGTCGACACAACTGTGAAGTAGAGGGCCATAGAGGGCCACTGGA